ATACTTTTATAATCCACGCACTACTAATTACGTTAGCGAGGGCTGGCGTATTCCAGCTACCGAAGAGGTGCGCTTGAGGTTTTGCTCTCCGCTAATGAAAAATCTCGCATTTAAGCACTTAAACAGGGCTCATATCATCGCGTAAAATTTCATAAACATCATTTCGCATTCTGATCTTTAGAAGCCGCGTGCCTTGTTTAGGCATCTTCGGTTGAATGATTTCGAAGGCCTTACTGAGGCATGTATTCTTGAGTACCTCGTGCAGTCGATATACTGTATCTTACTGTCGCCTAAATACCCGACTAGAGGCTCTGTGAGCTAGATGACTCGCTGAGTCGTCATATAAGTTCTACGAACTAAAAGGCCAATCTTTTCTCTTGCATGGGGCTGTGGCAGCTTCGCTACATAACATACATCCTAAGCGAAGCACGCTTCATGCTTGTTAGTATTGAAGCATCGCCAACACTTCGACCAGGGTTTTGTCGACGTTTGTTGCGCCCGTTGCCCGTAGTCCATTTGAATACATACTGACCCGCTCAAAAATCATACAGCCGACTTGATTCGGAAGACAGTTATACACTGTCCAAAACGTCTCGCCATCAAAAATGGTATGGTATCTTTTATTCACTGCTGCAAGTGATGTGGTAATCATTTGCAACAGCCACTCCGTAGGAAGGTGGCATGAACGCTTTCGACAAGCTACACGGATCTCGGATGTTAGTATCTTGATGTGCAGAGTCAGGTCTATGCCTTATCTTTCTTCACCGTGCGTGGCTGTCCAAAGAATCGAGTGAGACGACGCAAGCCATCGGCTGCTATGGTAGATTGTGGTGCTGTGTACTCAGGTATAGTGTCGCTGTTGTTTGGTTTCCGTTCCAGAAGGGAGATGTCATGTCTACGTCGCACCGTCTCGACTGGCTTACTGACAGACAACTAAATCGTGTATATGGTCTTGTTGGTGGATGCCGCTACTAACAGATCACGTTAAGTGTACTTCGACCGTACGTGTCTTGCTGCCGACCTGAAGTTGCAGCAATAATGACACACCCACGAGATGCACGATCATCGACATCCGTACAAATGATAGACTGATGCCATTATGATTGGTGCTAATGTCAACGCACGCACGATCACATACACCCTATGCATCAAGTAGCACTCCTGCAACTGTAGAGCTATCAGACATAGTGCCCAGTTACCTACACAACTCTATCGCCCGAGTAGTTTGACACCAGATAAAAAATGCTTCTATCCCACAGCCTTTTCAAGCAAGTGGCAGGCAGCACGTAAGTTTGTAAGTGTGTATCCGTCCGTGACCTCGTTATAAACTATGGAGTGCATCGCAGAAGTTTCTAGCAGCTTCAAGGTCGTCAAAAGCAGCGGCGTCAATGCTTAGTCATAGTCTGGCATGGCATTTACCAATGTCATTTACACACGCTTTCAGCCAGAAATACTGCCATGCAACTCTTGAGCGGTATGTGGTACGCAAGTCGGCAGCACGAACGTTACACGACTAGTAGCTCGTCTTACCAAGTCAGCCAAGGAAACGCACGATAAACAATCACGAGAAATGAGGACAGCCTATCGAAGCAAGGGCGATGTCGCGTGAAGTGTCATTGAGCTCAGCTGCAACGTCTGTTAGCCGTGTGTTGTACGAGCGGGGAGGCAGCATATTGCCCAAACGGCCTGCTCACAATAAGCATGCCTTTTGCACGTTTTCAACACCAATTAATGTTCTAGTCAGTTAACAATCACAACGAGGCCGCGCTTCAACAAATGGCTACATCACTTGCAGCTTATGAGGGCAGTTGCTGCACCCACAGTGTTAACCAACGTGAAATCTTTTAAAATTATCAAGAGCCAAAAAAGCTTTTAGAAGAGACTATTACTGCGGCCGGGTATCACATCATTTTAGTCTCAGCTCCATTGCAATCTGACCTTCACATCGGAATGTTTGGGAAGTAAAAATGCCATGCTTTTCTAAAATCGTGTCTGCACGTCCAAAGGCATCGAGCAGATGGTCTTGTAAAATCCCATGCAGCCGTTTCTCTTCACTATTATCCGCCGCCATCCTCGAAAGTGCTTTCGGTACATAACATATATCGCAAGATCCTGACTAGGAATGACGCCGAATTCGCCGCACCTTACGGCCTCAAATTCATTTCTAAGGGATGCCAAAGTTATAGCTGCTGCCAATTATTGTGCTTTGCAATAGTTCTGGCAAAATGCGATGGGTATTGATGAATTTATTTAATATAATAAGCGGTTATTTTTAGTAAAATAGAAGACATAGACAGGCAAAACAATGCCCATGAGGGAGACGCAGACATTTTCGCACTTTAAAGACTGCAAACACCGGGTTTTTACGCTAGTTCGTCTACTAATTAATAAAAATTTACGATAAAAAGTATGTAAATCAAGAAAGTTAGCTTACGTGTGAAATTTAGGGCGGCCAAATGTGGCTCGCCGCGAGCCAAATTCAATAAGAATTTCCAAACTTAGGGTCCTATAACTTCGCGGAAGTTTTGTCAAATTAAAACCCGAGACTATAGAAATGGAGCTAGCAGCGTGCTTCAGCTTTCTCTGGTCTTAGTTTTGTATTTTAAGAAGTATGAAATGAAGAGTAGCTGAGTGACGGAGATCGGAAAATGTTACAGGTTATAGATGGTGCACATTATAAAAAGGGAACTAGATGAAGAGGAGCTTCTTTAACATGATCCCAGTTAGCCTTCCTTAACTATGTATCCATACGAACACAAACGTTATCTGTTCGCAATCTACCTATTGCGCGCGTCTATCATTAATTCGACGCTTTGTTATTTGATACATCAGCGTATACCAACCAACGAGCAGAAGTCACGATACATTACCGTTTCAAGTAGAGAGATCAGATATTCCATTTACACAGTATTACTATGTGCAAGAACGCTGATACGTTCTGAGCCAGGATATGAGCGCCGCTGTGCCCGGTGGCTGATCGTGACTGGTCCCCTTAAAAACAGGGGACCCTCTAGGTTGCTGAACGAGCAACTTGATGCAGGCATGGCGACTTGCTCCATGAATTGATTGATCTGCAGTGCGATGTTCTCGGATTGCGACCGCCCGGAGCTGCCGGATACACGCCTTTCAAATAATCCTGGTGCGGTAATGGACATGGCGAGCCGTTTCTTGAAAGATCAACGCACTCCTGCTCATCTACAGTCGGGTAAGTCATATTGTAGTGATAATGTGCCATATCTGCTTCCCTTCGCTCTCTACCAAGGTGCTATCATCTTGGAACCTGTCTTGATGGCCGCATGGCAGTGCTGAGGTAGGCTGTTAAAAGTGTTACTCAATGTCAGCCCGTGACGCAGATGAATTGCGAAGTACACACTTGAGAATGTGCTACTACTGCTGAATGATTTTATCACTGTAACATACATACGTGACACGCAGGGTGCCGATCCATGTGCCACTCGCACGCCAAGCGAGCGAGCGACCACTAGAGCTTTACCCCCACTATTACCGTTTCAAGCAATTGTCACTTTGATATCATTGTAAGCAATAACACCCACACAGGTCACCCCGTTGCAGTATCGACTTATCTGAACATGCTCAAATGCCCGTGAATGTCCTACCTATCCAGTCGGCTCATTCAATCGAACGTAACGTCCGATCTTGACCGAACTTGAGGCGCGCACTTTTCAGAGATGATCATGACGAGTTATTGCGATTCATTTAGCGCTGTACGTCATTAGCGCGACGTTTTCATAACGACACATTTGATCTCACCGCTTTTCACGCTCGTGACTGCGTATGGACAGTGCCTCACCTGCCGACTGCCCGCTACTGCGTTCGACGTGCGGATGACCGCTAACAACGCAAGCAAAGTCTGTTCGGGTATTCTGCATTTCGCTCTCAGCGATCCTTATTTTATGGCAGAAATGAGTGCCTCGATGCGGCTAATGCCTCCGGGTCTCGCCACAAACACTCGAAATGACAAGAGTCTGAATACTGACAATGGGAACTACTACACACACGGTGCTGCAAAGTCTGCGTACGTCACGTGGACACGCGCGTGACGCATCATATTTCCGCGAATCTCGATCTCGAAATTCGCGGTGATACGATTCTCTGTTGCATTCCCCTGCTCCGACATTGCTCCAGTTACATCGACCTGTCGAGCTTCTGCTCTCTTTAGGAATGCAACGAGATGCTGCCTCGACAAACGCACGAGTTGGACGACTTTCTTTTTCACGATATCAAGTTACTGCTTCGGAACGGCGTGTTCGGACTTTGTGAGCGAAATCAAAGAACTTGAGCCGATAAGATAAAGTGCTTGGATAGCGAGTCGCCCCAAGGTTGCGATGGGAGTATGTCCTGCTTATCGATCAATAGTCGGACAATACTCGCTGTGCCAAGACACGGCGTACTTGGCCTTTGGCCCTAGAGCATCGAATGCGATGCTTCTACTCTCAGCAACGTATCGTACGACTCCCGGACATGAGAGCAGTCGCGCACCAGTTGCATAGAGCAGGACGTACTTGCGACATCTTGGCTCGATCTATGGATCCATTTGCGCGACTGTATCGAGTACCGCAGCTAAATGGTCGACACTCGATAGGGTCGACGCGACGAATGCCTTCTTTAGCACTTGATCCCCAGGATGACGTCACGTCCCCAGTCGTTCGGTATCATCGCTTCGAGACAGGACGTGATTGGCTCAATTCGTTTTGCGGTTCCCGCTCGCTGTCTCGCGTTCGCATCGGCTGACAGAGAGGTCGCAACTAGCGATCTCTATCACTCGATCACTTTATCACTCGCGCGCTCTTGTGTCTTGATCTATCTATACCCCGAGCGCTCGACGTGTCCCGCGTGAGACTCGGGTTCAGTAGTAATCCCACGTCTCGTCCCCACCACTGCTTCAGTCTCCGACTTGCCAGCTGTCCCGAAAAGGTCTCGTCCCCACTCCCGTCACCACTGGCTACGGTAGCGCCGCCAATCGACCACCGGTTGCTGTCATGGTCGACGGCGTCAAGACCAAGCGCCTGATCTCGTGGCAACAAGTGCAGCAGCACTCGACGAGCGACACGGCGTGGATCGTCATCCACCACAAAGTCTACGACATTAGCCAGTGGGACGCGCACCCAGGCGGCATGGTCATGCTGTCGCAAGCAGGCGAAGACGCTACCGACATCTTTACGGTGTGCCACCCCACGAGCTCCTGGAAGCTCCTCGAGCAGTTTTACATTGGCGACGTGGACGAGAGCTCTCTGTTGGCAACGACAGCGCCCGAGGCGCTGACCGACGCGCAGCGCGCGACAAAGGCCAAGACGGACGCGTTCGTGCGAGCGTACCGTCGCTTGCGCGTCCAGATCAAAGGCATGGGGCTCTACGACGCCAGTCTCGTGTTCTACGCGTGGAAAATCGTGAGCACGTTTGGGCTCTGGATGGCGTCCGTTGCACTGTGCTACTACGGCGACAGCTGGTCGCTGTACCTGCTCGCCGCGTGTGTCATGGGTTTGTTCTGGCAGCAGTCGGGCTGGCTCGCGCACGACGTCTTGCACCATCAAGTGTGGACCAACCACGCTATTGGCAACGTCGTGGGTGTGGTCATTGGCAACGTCTGGATGGGCTTTAGCGTCCAGTGGTGGAAAAACAAGCACAACTTCCACCACGCGGTGCCCAACTTGATTGGCAACGAAAAGACCAAGTACCTTGGGGACCCGGACATTGACACCATGCCGCTGCTTGCGTGGAGCAAGCACATGGCGACCAAGGCGTACGAATCGAGCTGGGGCCCGTTCTTTGTGCGCTACCAGGCCGTGTTTTACTTTCCCCTGCTGCTCTTTGCCCGGTTCAGCTGGCTGCTCCAGAGCTACTACTACGTGTTTGAAGGCTATGCGTACGGCAAGTACGATCCAGTCCAGCTTCCTAATGGCGAGAAGCTCGGGCTCCTTTTGCACTATGCTTGGAACCTGCTCTTGCCGATCCTCACGGGCATGTCGGTTGCTCAAGCACTGGCGTTCTTCGTCCTCGCCCAAATGTCGTGCGGTGGCCTCTTGGCGGCAGTCTTCAGTGTCGGCCACAATGGCATGTCAGTGTACGAGCGCGAGGATAAGCCCAACTTTTGGAAGCTGCAGGTCACGACGACGCGGAACATTACGCCCGGGCCGTTCATCAATTGGTTTTGTGGCGGCCTGAACTTCCAAGTCGAGCACCACCTGTTCCCTTTGATCCCGCGCCACAACCTGCAGCGCGTGAATCCGCTTGTCAAGTCGCTTTGCAAGGAGTACGATCTGCGATTCCACGAGACGGGCTTCTACCGCGGACTCGTTGAGGTCGTGGACGAGCTGGCCGAGATCAGCAAAGAGTTCCTGCTGGAATTCCCCGCCATGTGAAAACCCGAGAGGATATACCCGGGCAACTGGGAGCGAGGAACCCGAAGCGTTGTCATCGCAAGAGCGCAAGAGGACAAGGACAGAGGAAGCGCTTGTGTAGAACGGATACGTCGTAGGAGGACAAAACAGACCCGTTCAGACTGTTACCCGTTAACCGCAGACTCTGAGCTGTGTTTGCTGCCTCTGCGATCCGTGTCGTTTCGTTTTCGACTTGATACCAAAGGACCGGTACGCCTGGCGTTAGGCCATGCAACTTGCACACAAATGTTATCGCGCTCGAGACGCCTGTCAAAAGCGCGAGTTGACCATAATGGGCCACACGGTAGCAAAGGAAGCAGATAGGAATGGGATTGCTCATAGAACAACGGGCCCAAATAACTACATCACGTGGCAAGAGGATTGAGGTGTACTGGATGGAAAAAGCTTTGCAAGAGCAAAGAAAACAAACGGCTGAACCACACTGGAAATCCAATGAATGTTTTATAAAAAAATACGATGAGCTCACTGGCTATGCATTAAAATGGCTCGTGTGTATTAGGAAAAAGAACCTTCCCGTGCGTATAGACAACCTACTACTTCTGCGTACAACGGCATCATGCCCTCCTTGTCTATCACGTCAACGCGTCTCGGTTGATGTACTGCAAATGAAAGACAAACCGCGCGCGCCAATTCGCTTAGCAGTCGACCAGCTGCTGGTACAGCGACCCCAACTCGGTCATCGTAAAGTCAAAGCTCGCGAGCTCGACAATCTTCACGAGGCCGTCGTTCGAGTCGTCGATGAGCGTCACGTAGACCGTCGTCGAGTCGTACGAACGCGGCGCAAAGTTGTCGCCCTTCTGGCTCAAGATCGAGCCGTCGTAGAAGTAGTAGTGTGTCGTCACCATGTCCCGCGCAGGGTTCGTCTCAATCACTTCGGCAATGTCGAGCTCGCCACATCCGCCCACGGGGCCCATGCCACGGCAGTTGCACGCGTACTGGTTCGACTGCATCACCTGAGCATTGAGCATCCAGATGGCCGGCTGGTCCGGCACGGCGCCCTTGGGCATCTTGACCTCTGTCACGAACGCCTTCTTGCCGCCACCCCAGCCAAGGTAGTCATTGTCTCCAAAGTAGCCAAGGCACTCGCCTTCGGTGCACTTCTTGGCCGTCATGATGTTGACCTCTGCGCCCGTGGCGACGCCAGGGCCCCCGCCGACCTTTGACGGGTCCGACGCCTCGGCGAGCACACCGGAGAACACCGTGGGCCCGTCCGCTAGTGTCTTGCCGTCTTCCGACGCGTACCCCTGCGGTCCGTGGCCGCCCTTGCCCGAAAAGTCCGGGTTCATGTTGTTCAGAAACACCATGTTCTCGACTGCACCAGTCTCGCGCGAGTACGACGACACGCGGGACCACGTGCCATTGTCCCCGGCCGCCGAGAACACGGCAATGTTATTGATCTCCATGGGACCGCGAAAGATGAGCGACACGGGCTCGGACAGAGGCCCCACGGGCGTGTGGACACTCACGGGCTCCTTGACGCACTGCGTCAAGTCGGCTACGCGGTCGTACGATCCCGGGACGTTGCCCGCGTACTTGCCCTCGTACGAGTACGTGACTTTGACCTCGCCGAGGTCGCCCCCGGCCGCCGGGGCAAAGCCTTGTTTGCCCGGGCTCTCCTGGTCCGGCGTCTCTTGGTCCGGCGTCTCTTGGTCCGGCGTTTGCTGCTGCTGCTGCTGCTGCTTTGTGTCGTCGCTGTCGGCGCTGTCGTCGGTCTTGGTCAGCCCCAGCGGTCCGGTGGACAGCACGACCGTTGCATTCAGCACAGCGGTCGGGTCCGGCAGCAGCGTCCCCGTCGACTGCTCGGGGGAGTTGTCCTGGTCGGGAATGTTCTGCGTGAAGCCCGTCTTGTACCCCGACGGCGCCCCTTGGTCGGCATTGTCCCCGTTGGCGAAGCAAAAGGTCACGACGAGTCCCGAGTTGAGCGGACAGCTGTGCGTCTTGATGTCGTCCTTGGGGAAGTGGTACGCGTCGGCGCACGCGATCTTGTCGTCCGCCGCGCACTCGAGCGCCGCGCACGTGCCTTTGCCGAGGTTGGCCTTGGGCACGACCGACACGGGCACGTTGAAGCCCGTCTTGGTGCCGCCCGCGCGGCACTCTTCGAAGCTCGCGCACCACGCGGGCATGGGCGGGATGGTGCTAATGTCGTACCAGAACCAGTCGTCGCACGCCATTTCAATCAGCGTCGACGACGGACTCGCCGAGTGGCGGTACATGTGCGCGGGCCCCGACACTTGCGTCGTGAAGGTCGCGCCAATGGCAATGTCGGTGACTTTGGCCACCGCAGAGCCCTTTTGGCTGTGGTAGAGCTCGATGGGGAACGTGCACTTGTTGACAAAGTCGACCGTCTCGGCGGCCGCCGCGGCAGCCACGAGGCACGCGGCCAGCGCGACCGTAAGCGGCATATCGACGTGGACCATTGCTGGTGGTGCAGGAGCTGTTCAACGGACGTCTCTCAAAGACGAGAAGCGGAGACGAAGCGAAGAGGAAGCGAAGATGAGGAGAGTGACAGAGAGAGAGGTGAGGAGGAGAGTCCTTCGTAGCGAGCGAGCAGATTGCACAATGCCGTGCCAGGAAGTGGTGGTGTCGTCCTAATCCGATACCTCCTCCTCGTTCTGTGCCTTCTTCTTGTCGCACGACCGGCAAACGGACGAACGGACGAACAGGCGGACGGACGGACAGACAGACAGACAGACAGACAGGCGGACGAACGGACGGACGGACGGACAGCCGGACGAACGAACAGACGACCGCACGACTTTTACGAGGGGCAGAGAGGACAGCCGCAAGCGGGCGATGTAACGGGTCGTGCGCCAGTGGTACTGCTGACTCGACAAGAGTCAGTCCAGTGAAAAAAACCAGTCGCTAGGGGCTGCGACGCGAGGGTTGCGACATGTGCGCCGGTACCGCGAAAAGACATACTTTGGTGCAGCACGTTGCGGCGCACTGCGACTGCTGGCTGGCATCGACGCCACCGAGAGTTGATACCCTCTACAACACGATGCTCCCACGCCGGATCCGCCACCGCTCGACTTTACACGTGCGAAAACCGCTGCTTGCTCGAGGCGCTGGTGGTACAAGAGCCGCTCGCGTTCCAGAGAGATCTGCATTTCACCCGTGCAAAGTTGTGGCGTGCGAGGGCAGACTGGACCAGCTGCTGGCCGTCGGGCGGGCCATCAAAGCTTCGAAACGGTAGCGCCGCGAGGCGTGGCGGGCCCTGTGCGAGGGGTATAACACTCCCCCCCACTCATACCCACGAGCTCTGCTGGATTTCGTTTCATGTCCCCAACGGGAGCGCTTGGACCAGACGCGACCGCTGTGAATGGCGAGACGGCCATTGGAGATGGGAGCGGTGCAGCGATAGACGCGCGCCCGTGCACGCCGCACGCCCTATAGCGTCTGTCGACGTGTTGTCACACTGCGAGCGCAGGACAAAGAGCAATAAAGTCGGTCGAAGGACGTGGCGCGTCGCGCCGTTGGCGCTGGAAAAGGTTGAAAAAGGGATTTCCAGGCGGGGGAATCGACTGACTTTCCACGAACGAACAGATGAAGGGACTGAACGGGACTTGCACCATCTCGACAGAGATGGACGGACAGTTGTTTGATCCTGTGTGGTCGGCCCTGCGCCGAGACGAGGGAGAAGCCTCGACAACGGGAGAGTCGCGCCCAGCGTCTGGTACGAGAGCAGCGCTTCCCGGCCGTAGAGTAGGCCGACAGCTGGAAGCATGTCGCGGGGTCACGCCATCGAGAGTCGTCGAGGAATCGGACGCCTGGGAAACCTCGTGTGGAGCTTCTTGAAGTGGAGAGAAGCGCCTCGATGTGCCATCTTCGATGAAACGCTATCTCACTCGCGGTCAATGGATCAGTTGAAGACCGTCGCTCGCTTTCCAATCGATTCACGATCTCTGAACACGCCTTCTTCGGACGTTACGCGACCTTGTTTTTGTTGCCATGGAGAGCCAAATGTTCGCACGACAACGACAGTGGCTTCGCGGTCACACTTCCGAGTTGTTGTCTACCACCGGATCTCTCGGTGGCGCACCGAGCGCGTTCGTCGAACGGGTACGTGCCAAGAGCATTAGTAAGCCGTTGAGGAGGAGGGGGGCGGGGGCAGGTGATCGAAGTATGGATCGCTCGCACAGCCAGCAGCTGCGCGCTCCAGGCGCCATACAAACGGGAGAAAGGCGTTGCGTCCACGGCCGTTGACGTGCGTGTGACGCGGATAGTCACGTTGTGCTCCGTAGCGAAATGCGATGCAAAGTGCGTGCGTGCCACTTACAATGCAATTCAGCAGTAGCAGTAGCAGTAGCAGCAGTAGCAACAGTCGATTCTTTCTATCGTGCGTGCTGTCTGTCATTGTCCACCACCACCGAGGCGTCCGCGAAAGAGATGCGACGGCACTTCGGTTCCAGAAAGGCGGACGCTCTACGAAAAAAATGGCCGGCGAGTGATGACGGCCGTGTACCCAGCTACGGCCTGGGCGCCTATCCTCGCGTGTGGTCCTTGCCACGATCCGTGCGAACGTGTCGCGTGGGGGGATATCACCACGCAACAAACAGAGAGCGCAAATCGCCACGCGAAGGGGCTTCGATGAAAGTGGAGTGTTCTCGTGTTCATGTCGAAGCGTAGTCTCCGCGACACGTTCAGTGATTCTGAAGTGTGCTCAACAGATGATGGCCTCCAGGGCGCGCAGCACGTACAGTTGCGGCGACATGATTTGTTTTCTTAGAGCCATCAGGTAAAATGACGCTCCGAAACTGCATGTGTATGTATGTGTGCATGTGCGTTCCAGACGCGAGGTCCAACCCATGATGGCCCGGTGCGTGATAGGTGGGGTGGGGTGGCAGGTACAACACGAGGATGGCACGGAACGTGGAAGAAGCTATCGCTGTCTGTTGGTCGAAAGCTCGTGCTGCTCTGCTGGCTACTGCAGCAACACCCGAGCTCTAGAAACCTGCACGTGAGCTCGGCAAATCGGTGCAGCGGATGCTCTTGACACTGATGAAGCGCATGACGGAATGCGTGAAACCGCAGTGCACCTCCGTAGCGAGATCGCCAAGGGGTCTGCTTGCTGACGCCCTAGCGACCAAGAGACCGCAGCACCATGTCGTCTATGTGAGTCATCCTCGCTTTCGACTCCCGAACCTCTGTCAGTTGTGTGCTGTGCTCCTCCTTTGCTGCAATGACAACCATCTGGACACCTCGCTCGATTCCACCGAGCATGTTCACACCATTGAGACCATGAACGCTGACGTTACAGATCGAGGACGAACGAAGCGCTATGCAGCAAGAGTTGCACGGGGGAGCGCCGGATCGGGCACTACAGGTGCGCTGCTACAGTCATCGCGGAAGAGGTTCGTGCAATGCTGTTGGATGCGTCATGGGTGTCGACAGCGACGTGGAGCATCTGAGGCATGTGAGGCATGTGAGGCATGTGAGGCCGTTTGGGCACCAAACGCAAAGCCGCACGCCTCGAGACTGTGTGTAGTCGGGTCCTAGTGGGGTGAAGGGGGGAAGGGACTGCTACATGCAACAGATGTCGAGCTCTCGTGACACCTGTCCAAACGCCAAGTTGGCAGTTACAATGCGAGCAGCGCTCGGGTAAGACCTTTGACGTGGCATCCTTCGCTGCCTTCGCCCAGCTGGCGAACCCTTCAGATGCAAGGAAAGTTATCTATCTGTCTATCTATCTGTCTGTCCGTCTGCCGGGCATAGTGGTCGACGCGGAAGTGCACTGGTGCATGGATGACAAGAAAGCAGATGTGCACCGTCCTCCCATCCATCTGCTTTTCCCGAAAAAGACGGCCCGCCACTTGTCAACAGCTCGTGCAGGAACGTTGGCTACAGCAGCGTCTTCCTGCTTCCCGCTGCTGTCTGTCGCATGTTTGTCGTCCCTTTGCAAGGCATGCGTCGAGAGCATTGCACGATCGCACTGCATCGGCGCTTGTCACTTGTGGATAGTCCACGTATGGAAAAGTCGGATTGGACCCGAGCGTTGGTTGAGGTTTCGAGGTCGATGGTGCATGTGTGTGCGTGTGTGTGGCTGCCTAGAGAGTGCAGCGGTATGGCCTTCGAGAGGTGTGGAGGGAGCAGTAGGTGGCAGCGCGCGGAAGGGCCCGATCGTGCGTTTGGCGCCCGCGATGTTCATGCTGTCTTTTTCCACCGCGGAAAGTGCTCGGGGCACACTGCGGGATCACGTATACTTGTTTGCAAGCACGTGGCAATGCAGTGGGCAGCAATCACACGCGTGTGCCCACTCTTGAGCGACGTGTTGCTTGCTTTTGCTGCCTCAAACTGATCGACGGCGGTCGGATACGTGCGATGAGAGCACGACCTGCTTTTCTTGCGTGTGATTGTGGCCGAAGGGGACGGAGATGCAATGTCCATTGACACGCGTCAGTGCAGGGGATGAGCGGCTATCATGTCGTCGTCCTTCATCTTCTTTTGCCTCCACTGCAGGATACATACTACCGAGTTGGGGCCGAGAGACCAGCCTTGAAACGACAAAAGTTGCGTGTAGTCGAAGCAGAAAGATACTCGTACATCACGGTAGGAATGACAAACGGGCTACGAACTCTTCTCGATGACCTGTCGACGACCAATTGAGTGCATTCACGTGCTTTCGAGGCATTGGCAGCTGTAGCAATGACCTCTTTGTGAAAAGCCGTAGTCGCGATCTCAGCATCGATAGATATGGATAGTTGGGGGGACGAACGTGGGCAGGATCAAAACCCGAGGAGCAGAACATGCTGTGCTTGAGAAAGCTACCGCGTGGTGGCTGTAGTTTAGCAAATGGCCGAGTACTCAATGGACGTACCAGTCGTAGATCAATCCGCACATGGGCTGTTCCAAGCGGCAAACTGCATGCAAGTTCCTGGCCTCGCCTCGTAACACTTGCGGCTTTGCTCTTTCGTTCTTACTGCTTTGTGTCCACTGCTTGAGTGGAAGCCAACTTACAGTCATCGAGCTGCGACGACGACCCGCTCGTAAGGCTGAAAGCCATCGATGCACAAGTAACGTGCGCTGCTGCAGTTTTGTTAGCTGCGACACTTGCTCGAGGCACGTCCTCTGCAGACGCCGTGTCGCATGTACCTGGACGAAGCTCAAGACGCGATGTGGCCATAGACTTGCAGCATTTCTACGCCTACTTGACATGGATGAACAGTGGAGCGACGTGCTACGTGCGAGAATCCTTCAGCCGCCCATGGAGGAATGACTTGGTGTCTGGAGAAGTGCACACCCGCGCACTACAAAGCGTGTCACGTTACTGGGACCTTGGGGCACGTCAACTTGCAGCGTTGGCATAACGTGAACATCGATGTCTGGACATCTTCGTCCAGGGGGTTCTATCACACGCCTGTAATCGATCTGTTACTCTCGGATCTCGAAGAGAATCCTCTCTTCTACGGAGAAGTGCCACAACAGAGACAGAGTGTGGCCCCGGAGAAATCCATCCACCACCTACGCTCACTTATCACTCACAGCTTTGCCCTTCGGGCTGCCCGCAACAGCCAAATATGTACAAGATGTTTGCAAACTTTGAGCCATCAGAAGAACGGATGGGGGGAGACAATTCTGCCGGTATGTGCAGACGCTAGAGCTTGCAGAGTCGCAGAGGAGTAAACGACGCTGTCTTTTAGGCGCTATGTTAGAAGCCCTTGAGACAGCTTGTCGTCTCTTTGCGAGCGCGGCCGCAGGTGTAACAAACTGCTCGCCGAGAAGATAAAGCAGAAGGTGTGTCGACTCGAATTGATTGACTGCGAAGACTCTGCACCTACAGACTTTGCCATCTCTACTTTTCTGTGTGACTTCGTAAACGTGAAGCTCGAGGCGCCGTGGAATCAGGTGCTGCGAGGCCTACACGCCCTTTTCAAGACGCATGGCGCTGTGGCGTGGTCCAAGGGGCAGCACTCCTGGAGGACGTATTGCTCACCTGTTGACAAACAAAATGGAGAAGCACTGACGAGATGCCACTGACGTAGCCGCCGTCTCTCTTTGCTCTCGTCCTGCTCTTCCCTACGTCAGCAATACGAGCGAGTGCTTCATCTCACAACAACTACGGCAACACTGCAGCTAAGACACCTCACAACGTACGATTGAACCTCCAGTCGCCACGATCACTCGCAAAGGGCACGGGAGTATCTGCAACCTTTTTACATTGTCTCTTGAACTTGTTGCTGTCGTATCGACATTTGTCCATCGATTGCGTCTCCTGTTTCATTGAAAGCCAATACATAGCGTCTCTTTCTCCATCTACTGCTAAAACACCATCAGGGAATGTCTCGGATGAGCTGCGTCGTCGTCGTGCAGATCGGTCGCTTGTCGACGGACTTCGTGCCTCACGCGGCGTATCCAGTCGATCCTAGTCTAGGCCTCACTGCCACGACTGATACCCTTTCATCGTCTTTACTTGCGCCAATCTCGATAGGACTATCTAGTTCTACAGGCACTCTCTGGTCGGAAAACCGCCGGAAATGGATCAGTGCATCTGCCATCGAGCGTATCGAATTGGACGAGCTTTGTTAACCCCTGTCGAAAAAAGGTCAGCACAGTAAACGTTTCGAAAAGCACGTGCGGGCACGGATGGATAGGACAGGAGGGGTACACCACAGTTACGCAGTCGGCTGTGGCACGCGATACCGGCATGCGCGATGAAGTCACGACACACGAGTCGCTTCTGACTTTGTCTACCTCAAAACACGAGACATCGTTATCGTCGTACATGCTCCTCGCGACTGCTATCGAGACAACGTGCCTCGAGTAACCTCCGAGCAACTCTCCACGGACGTCAGTAGGTGCTTAGTCAGGGTTTGTGCTGGTATGTGCATCACCATTGTCGTAACCAACGGAAACCGACAGCCCGCATCGGTCGGGTACAATACGCGCCTAACTGCCCGCAGAGCGTTGGAGAAACTTTCGCTTCGTTGCCGCTCCATCTCGCACAAGTCGTTCGATCACTCACACGGCTGATATGCTGTGTCATAAACATGCCGGTATAACTACATTTCATCTCTCTGTTGCTATGTCGACAGGTTGCATGATTGTGCGAACCCTTTCGAGATATGTCGGTCTGGCGTACTAAATGGAGTTTCTCACACGAGACCGCGAGGACCTTTCACGCTCTTGCGCCAGATGTTGTTGTGGCTCAATACGATTGCAAGGGTGACGCAGCTGTGACTGAGCGTCTCATTGGTCGAAGAGTTGCACCTGTCACAGACGTCGGCTCGCACTGTTTCTATCTCTTTTTGCAGTGTAGCTGTTCGTGTAGAGACATGCAGGATTACATAGTGCCCATCTCGTGTGCGCAATAGCGTCTCCTCGTATGCAAAAAAACACAATACCGAGGCGCCCTATTCCGTGAACTGCGCTGCAGCCAGCAACAGTAAAACGATATCGCAGCCACCTTTATCAGTGACGCATTAGAAACTCTCTGCTCCGGATTGGTCGCGGTAGACTCGCGCCACAGTTGCTTTCGGTTTCTGCCGGAAACCAAAACATTGATTTGCACGGCATTGAGATGTAATCAACGTCAGTCCAAGGAGATCGTGCGCGGTCTATGTGTTTGATAAACACCAGTGCATGAATCGGCCCTCTGGCATTTTACCAATGTGGCGTAAGGCGAGCGTTGTTCGATGACGTAAGAAACTGCTAGCACGATATTGTCAGTCTACTCAGTCGGCATACATCGTGCCTGACCAACTAAGCGTGGTCGAAGCAATGATAGATGCAATGCTCAGTCACTGGGAAGGCTGGACACTGGCACGACAACGTCCAGACAATGGCGATAGGATGTAGTTGCAATTGCTTTTGCTGCACGAGGGGGCATCATGACGTTCTGATGATGATGATGACCTGGCGACGCGAAAAGAGGGCTTGACCGTGTGTTGAACGGCCAGTCAAGTTGCAACAGCGGCAAGCGCCTGTGTCGTGTCCGTCGGTGGCCAACACTGAATAGCCTCAGCTACACCAAAGAAGATCATAACGAGCGATTCGTTTTCTTCAGCACACGTCGTGCACTACTGCATTGCCGGACTCGGTAGCATGCGATGACGCTTTCTGGCGAGTAAGCATAGCTACGAAGGAAGTGGAGTGCATGAGTTGGCTAAGCTCGCACCCAGTGGTGCTGACTGTACTTTTATCCTCCATGCCGAGACAGAGGTACCGTTTGCTAGTTGGGACAATTCGTTTGCATGAAGAAGGCCACAGAGGCAGTTTTGTGTCCTTTTTGCTCGTAGACGGCGCACTTGTTACGATCGAGTCGGCCAGAGGTACGAGGCTCGTCTGCAGCGTCGTACGCCTTGACTTTTGTTCATCAAGGAGCTGATAGGGACTCGCGTTGATGGGCTGGCCACCGATGTGACCGACAAGAGACGTGTTGTGATGACAAACGCGGAGATGGTACTCGCAGTCACTGAGTCACTGTATCGCGCGAGGCATTGTCGAGATCTGGCATCGACACGCGATCGACTTGAAGATTGGGCACTGAGCTGCAGATCGCTCAAGTTCGAGATCGAAAGTCTCTGCTTGTGCACGTGGTAGCAACGAATCAAAGCAGCTACGAGGATCGGCACTGGGCGGGCAGTAGGATTCACAACGATGGAGACTGTCGTCAAAGCGTCGAAACTGTTAGTATGTTGGCGGGACTTCGTTTGCTCAACGACGATGGCTAGCGGCATGGGACAGGTGCAAGCGGGACCCTCCAGGAAGCCCGTCGTGCGTACCGAAGGAAGGAGCTTGCCATGCGAGACGAGACAGCTGCCGCTTCGAGGTCGCACAAGAGCGCCGACAACGTGCTGTACGTTCGCGTGGTATCCGAACGGGATAGGGCACCTCTCTATTTACTGTATCGGCGCGAGCTTCTCGGTCCCGTATGACGCAATCGCGGACCGTCTGTCGGTGCGGTCGAGCGTCTACGTAGTATCTATCCCAAGTCCGCGAGGGTGGAGGAGAAACCATAGCCATATGTGTGATCGAGCCATCGCACGTGCAGCCTCTGCTTTCCGCGAATACGAGAGCGCCTTCTGACCGTGTCACGAGTTCGTGAGCCATCCATTGGCTGAAAGCACACCAACACCCACCTTGGCTTCTTCGCCCGTTTTCTTCGTCGCTACGAGCACTAACGACCATCATCACGTCGATGACGGGCCATGACAACAAAAAAATAGAGTCCACCTCAACTCGAATCGAAATACCGCGTGCGCAGCATACCGCCTGCGCCGCTTCACCCCGCCCCCTTCCCCCCCTTCCCTTCACCCCCGATAGACACAGGATACTAACAATAGAGGGTGCATAAGCCGCCCCCCCTACCAGCAACGAGCGAGCCGAAACGCCGTCGTCGCGCCCGAGCGCGAGTGTAGCCACTTTGGCCCGCCCGCGTCTCCACTGCGCTCACACATTTCCATTTGCCGTCGAGAGACCGCACGTCGCTGTCTCGCGGCGCCCGCCCACGGACTCTCTCTCTCTCTCCACTGCCCGTGCGCGCTCGCTCCGCGCCCCACCCCACCCCACCCCACCCTCCCTCGTCGTCGTCATGGCGCCCCGCCCGCCCCCGTCGTCGGCGCCATCGAACCGCCAGGCCGTGCGCCCCATTGTGCTCCTCGCCCCGCCACTACCCGGCGCGCGGCACACGTGCGGCCTCACGCTGTCGCCCGTGAAACGCGGCTCGCGCGACATCTTGGCCACACTCAAGCACCAGTGCGACTGCCCGCCGCGGTCCATCTCCATGGGCGAGTACGTCGCCAGTCCGCGCGTCGCGACCGGCACTGACGCCCACAGCTTCACCGCCACGGAAGCCCACGCCCTCCTGCGCCCCGAGTCGTGCCACGCCATTGTTCACGTCGCCCCGCACGAGACAACACACACAGCTACGTCCACTGCTGCTACGTCCACTGCTGCTACTGCTGCTGCTGCGTCCAGCGCGACCAGTTCGCTCTGGGGCTCGACGTTCACGCTGACCAACACGATCTTGGGCTCGGGGACGCTGGCCGTGCCGTTCGCCATCGCCTCGAGCGGCTGGCTCCTCGGCACGCTCCTGCTGCTGGCGATCGCGCTCACGACGCGCTACTCGGTGCAGCTGCTGCTGGCCGCCAGCGACCGCGCGGGCGCGCACTGCGCCAAGACCTACGAGAGCCTCGGCCACTACACCATGGGCGCCTGGGGCACGCGCGTGGCCGAGTTTACCTTTATCTCGGGCGGCTTTGGCACGCTCGTGAGCTACGTCGTGTTTGTCACGGACCTCGTGGCCGCCGTCGCGGGCGTTGCGCGCGCCGACAAGTGGCTCGTGACGCTCGCGCTCGTGGCCGCTGTCGTCTGTCCGCTGTCGCTCAGTCGGCAGATTGGAAAGCTCTGGCTCGCGTCCGTGCTGGCGATCCTGTCGGTCTGCTACGTCGTGGCCTTTGTCGTCGTGGCGCTGCTCCTGGCGGTCGACGCCACGGGCCGCAGCTTTGCGGTCGCGCCCGGCGTGCAGGCCGTGCGCTTCGAGCCCGGCAGTGTCTACACGCTGACGCTCCTGATCTCGGCCTTTGCGTGCCACAACACGGCGCTGCCCGTGTACGAAGAGCTCCAGGACCGCACCCTGCCGCGCATGAACCGCGCGGTCGGCAGCGCAATTGCCGTTGCGTTTGGGCTCTACGCGGCGATTGCGCTCTGCGGCTACGTGCAGTTTGGCGCCGCGACGCAGGACAACATTTTGCTCAACTTTTCCGCAACGTACGTGGCGCAGCACGCGGCCGTGCGCGGGCCACTGCTCGTGGGTCAGCTGTGTATGGCGCTGGCGCTCGTGCTGACGACACCGATTGCCATGTGGCCCTTCCGGTCCTGTGTGCTGAGCGTGTACCTCCGCGTGAAGAACGGGCGGCAGACGCCGAGTCACCGCGCGACGTACCGCGAGTACGTCACGGTCACGGTCGTCAGCCTCGTGCTCATTGCCACGTGCAGTATCTTTGTGCCGTCGGTCAAGATCCCGCTGAGCATTGTCGGCTCTGTCTCGGGCTCGCTCTTGATTTACATCCTGCCGGCGCTGTTCTACTTGTTGCAGGCCACGGGGCCCATCTGGAGTCGGAAACACACGGGGCCGTTGCTGATGCTCGGCGCTGGTGTCGTCGTGGGCACACTGGGGCTCTCGGTGACGCTCTATAAGCTGTATCACGAATAGTCTCAAACGCATGGAAACACGTACCGACGAACGTACCGACGAACGTACTCGCAGTCCATTGTGGCACACACGGGTGTATGCAGTACAGGAGTGGACGATGGCCGCTCTCGCCGCTCGAGGACGATGGATGGATCAGTCCATGAACGACCGTTTGGCCCAGTTCGGATGACCGTTTTCGCGCTCGAGAACGCATCTTGGCCTTGGCAAAAACGGTAGGGCGCCGCTGGAATATCGCCATTCTGCAATACATCGATAGCGCTGGACGCAGGTTCTCGATGGGCAGCTCTTGTGCACGACGATGGCGGAAGTTGCCGCAATCGAGTCGCTGCAGCAACGCAATGGAGTCGCTGCAGCAACATAATCTCGTTCACCGCGTCAGGAAGTAGACTTGTGGCTTTGGTCGATCTATTTTATCGATCTGTCTAATTGTCTAATTGTCTGTCTGTCTGCCGTCCGTTTGCCATAATGGACGCTGGTTCCCGTTCGCAATAATTGTATTGACACGCGATGTGGTTCCTCCGTCGCTGCTACGCGTCGACGGAGACATACACAGCGTCACGTATCGTGGCATCACACCATCTGACGTCGAACATGCAGTCCACGAGTCCCACCGTCGCACATGCAATCGTTTACGCCCATTTACATGCGCACACACACAGCGAAACACTTTCCTCTTTCACCCGTCTCGCTCGAGTCGCTCGCTGTGCGGCCTCGAGACCCGTCGCAACTTCTCCAGTCGGTTCGTTTCGCCCACGTCGTGCGACCACAGCGCAACCGATGGCGAGCGCCAGTCGACGCGAACGCGTTCTGCGCCCGAGAGCACCTGATCTGCTTCCCAGAAAGCTGCGCCAGCGTTCCCCGCCCCATCCGCAGCAGCCACCGACTGAGGTGTCGCACGGGGCAGGAAACCAACTCGACCCGTCTTCACGTCGTGCGTCGAGGTGTCCAACAGCGACTTTGCCGACCGCGGGCGTAAACATACGGCCGCGGCCACTGCACTTTGATCTTCTTTTGGCTGCAGCAGCACGTGCGCATGCAAATGGCTCGTGTCAAAACGTTAACTTAATCGTACTCACTAAATCCATATACGGACGTCCGTTCCTCTTCCTCTCTCTTCCTCTTCCTCTTCTTCCTCTTCTCCTTCTCCTTCCTCTTCCCTCTTCCTCGCTCTCTTGTCCTGTCCCCTATCTTCCTCCCTTTAATAATCTCACACGCCAAGTTGGCGGAACTGCCGGCGACGGCGCAGCTGCTGCGGCCTCAGCGCGCCCTTCAGCGCACTGGTCACTTGTTTCCACTGCTGGCCCAACTGCTTTAGCGGCTGGCAACGCGCTCGACCGAACGCCGGGTCTGCTTGACCCGCACTAACCTGCTGCTTCGTCGTCACGTCGCGCACCGTCGCACGCACCGCCGCCCAGAAGCTCTTTTGCTGCTTCGTTGACAGCACAGCCGTCTGCGACGTCGCGTGTGTGGGTTCCGCCCGTGCAACGAGCGCACTGGTGACGCCGTCGACCCATCGGTCGACCGCTGCAGCATCTGGAAAGCACAGCTGGACGCACGCAGTCGCTCCGGCGTCGTGGAACTGCAGCTGGCGCGCGTCCGACACGACGTCGAGCGCAGTGACGCGCAGCCGCACTAAGAGACTCCGCGCCGAGGCGTCTTCGTAGCGATAGAGCCACAAGTCGGGGCGGCTAAAGACCGCAAACACCCGCGTCCAGCAGTTGGGCAGCGCCACGGCGTCGCGTTGCCAGTAGACCCAGTCACTCAGTGGCTGCGGCGGCCGCAAGGGCACGACCGCGTGGCCAACGTCTACGCTTTGGCCGATACGGTGCGACCCGACGACGTCGTTGGCAGTGGCACTGTCCGATTCGTCGTCGTCGTCGTCGTCGTCTCTGCCTACGACAGAGTCACTATCAGTGGTCATCCACGTCGAGCGGAGGGACTCACTGCGACTACTTTTGAACACGGGCGACGACAAAAAGGGCTCATAGAGACTGCCACTCGGTCCGAACGTCGTCGTCGGCGGCGGGCGGCCACGTGCTTTTGACGGGTAAAAGGGCGCGCGCGCGAGACTGCGGGCCGCGTGCGTTCGCGGCGGAAACGACAGGACCATTGGCGCCGGAGCCGCGGAATGGGGAAGTGCCACACCGGACGTGGGTGTCTCTCTGTCTCTCTTTGTCTCTCTGTCTCTCTGTGTCTCTGTGTGTGTCTGTGTGCGCGTGTGTGCGTGTGTGTGGGAAGCAGGCAGGCGGGTTGTGGGACAGTTCGCTCAATTGGTTGCGAAGTTCTGATAACCGCGAAGACTCACTCTCGGACGTGGAACTCTGTATGAATGTTAGTATCTATGTATGTGTATGTGTGTATGTGGATGTGTGGACGTGTGGATGTCATCATCATCATCATCATGATCCGACTGTATATGTGCGCACAAACAAACGGTCGTGTCCACTTTGGCCGGTTGATGCGCCGGGACAGCCACTGTCTCTTGGTTTGATTATGGCGACCGATCGCTTGGAGCTGTTCGTCCGCCGCGCACATGACCGCGCACGCAACTGGACGAACGCCGCTTGGAAAGACAGACGACCCGAGAGACATGTTCGCTGTGCACTTCGTCACTTGTGCCTTTTGCGTCTTTGTGCATGCACACAACAGCGGCGACGGCGAGCGCGTGAGTACAGAGGCTCGAGGCTATCGATCGGGAGATCCCTACCAACGACTGCGACGACAAAACAACCGCAACGGCATTCACGACGACGCGGTCGATTCACTTCGGACAAGTAAGTGTTAGGTTGATACAGTCCCACTGCAACAGCTGTCGTGTGTGTGTGTCTGTGTGCGGTCGCGCACAAGCGGTTCACTGAACGACCGGCTGGTGGTTGTACTATCCCGTAGCAGTCAATGGCCGACTCGCTCGCAGTAGCCTCGTCGCGTGCGACGCTGGCAGTGTAGAGCAACTCACTCTTCGTAGCTTCCATCATTCGTTGCCCACCGGGAAAAGGACACATACGGGGATGACGAAAGCAATTAAGCGCAGTCGCGATGTGTTCCAGCTGCACCGAAGCAATCGCGTGGCTGCTGTCCGTTCACGCGCGCCGCTCTTCCACGATCAAATAGGGCGCGGCCGATCTTTGTTTTGCGCACCATTTGCGGGTTTGCTGCAAATGTGGCGCCCTGTTTAACACCGTTTACGCGCGAGGAACCGCGCCGAATTCCAGGACGATGGCAGTGTATAGCCCCGTCCGCCAGTTGTCACAGCTGCTGCTTGGACCCATTGTGCGCTGATCAGAAGCGGCGTTCTGGTCAATTTCGGTTTGATCTCGATCCCGTCACTTGGTGTTTGTATGCGATCGTACTACCCATTTTCTTGGAAACGCACGAGGGCTTTTTTCGGAAGCTCCATTTGAACAGGTGCTCAACAGATGGTCCGTCGCCTGAAACACAACACTAATCCTCCACCGTGTTCCGATCGCTATTTCAGTACTCCTCGGGCAATTGTCCCGCCAAATCGGTAACGTTTCACAAGCTTACGGCCCACTGCGCGTAAACAGCAGCAGTTGTGCAAAACGTGGCAAAGCGATCGCCGAGCGCAATACAGTCAGTCAGTCAGTCAGTCGCGCGCCCTCTTCCTGATCGCTGCGCGCAAGACAACAAGTTGTACCCACGAACATGAGCTGTCCGGCGCCGCAACACAAACATTCCGTCGGGTTTTTTCTCATCAGTCAACTCAGCCACAGAAACGTATCCTGGCTGATACACCTTTTGCCTCAGCGGACAGGACATTTACGTATGGCCCCGGAACAACGTCAACAGCAAGCAAAGGTTAGCAGTAGTTGGCCTGAATGGTTACATCGGATTCAGTGTCCCTCATATCTTGCGCGCTTGTCATGCTTTCTCCTCTCGCTATGGTACGACTCGGCATCACCATCATCGTCGTAATCATGTGCCTCGTTTGTTATCTCCCTTGCCACGGCCTCGTGTCCTTGGCAAATGCCAACCCACCCACCCGTTCGGCAGTTTACAGTCTAGGGCCAAGTGTGCAAATGAGTGGCAGACGTGCTATCGCATCGACTCAGCGTCTTTGCTGAATGGCATGTGAGGGTGACGTCGTCAGCCTCTTGCACCTGCTCAGCACACCACACACGAAGACGACAATAACAACAACACACGAGTCAAGTACTGCAAGGATACGTGCAAACAAATGTCCACACCACATCGTACCGATTGACGACCTTGTCGCTTTGCGCCCGCCTGCTGCAGCCATTCGATCACGACTTTCCTGCACGGCGTCAGCTTCTCCGTAGCTCACAGTGCTGCTCGTCCTGTCTTCATACTAGTGACATCATTCGAGTTGTCAGTCTGCGCACCTGCCCCATGACCGCTACTATCTGACGCACCTCGTGACGTTCCACTTGGTTGACCGCTAGCACTTGTCGCATGTGCTTTCAATTGCTGATGGGAACTATTAGACGCGGCAGCCATTGCAGCAGCCAGTTGTTGCTGCTGTTGTTGCTGCTGTTGTTGCTGCTGCTGTTGATGCTGCTGTTGATGCTGATGTTGCTGCTGCTGTTGCTGCTGCTGCTGTTGCTGCTGCTGTTGTTGCTGCTGTTGTTGTTGCTGGTGTTGCTGTTGCTGTTGCTGCTGTTGCTGCTGCTGTTGCTGCTGCTGGTGCTGTTGCTGCTGTTGTTGTTGCTGGTGTTGCTGCTGCTGTTGTTGCTGAAGTTGTCGCTGCTGCATATGCTGCTGCAGCTGTTGCTGATGGAGATGTGCTTGCTGGGCGTTCTGGTAGTATAGTGCCTGTTGAGGCACGAGCTGATTCCCCACGACGTGGTAGCCAGGCACGCCCGTACTGAACGCACTATTGTGCGCCGCATTCATCGCCTGGTACTGCTGCTTGATGTCCACGTGCTGCTGGCCGCCATGGGCTCGCAAGTGCTGCATCTGCGCTTCCATCTGCACTTGGGCTGCACGCGCCTGCGCCGTTGCAATCGCTTGTGCTTGCGCGTACGTCTGCGCTTGCACTTGGGCGTGCGTCGTCTGCTGCCGTGACGGCGTCGTGGCCATGGACAGCGGCATCGTCATCGCCTGCGACATGTGCAACGGGAGCGGGAACGACCCGGCCAAGTACAAGTTCGGGTCGCCGAACATGGCCGACGCCGCGTTGCTGTTTTGCACCAATAGCGACGCAGCTTGTTGACTCGCTGAAGCAACGGTCGAAAGGAGCGCGCGGCTGGTTGCCGGCATCATCAACATGGCCGACGCGGCAGTCGTCGGGGCTTGCGCTCTCGACGTCGTCGCACCACTCACGTCCGACGGCGGTGTCCCTTCTTCCACGGACGCCACAGCAGCAGCGGCAGCATCAGCGACAGTAGCAGCGGCAGCAGCAGTCGACGTCGGCCGTCGCGTTAAGGCACTCGTGCCGCCCTCGCTCGCTACTAACGCCGACGTGGTGCCGGCCCGTCGCATGGTGCGGAACTTGTCCTTGAGCTGGACATTCGAGCGGTCATTAAACTGAGGGCCGAGCTCTTTGTCGATCAAAATGAGCGACCAGACGTTGCGCTGGCCATTGTACTTTTTCACGCCGTCCAACAGCGCGCGCTCTTCCGTGGCCGAAAACGGGCGGTACTTGCGGTGGTTCTTGCGGTTCTTCGTGTACGCCGCGAGCTCCGGTCGCGTCTTGATCAGCGTCCGCCACTTGTCCTTCAAGTCGACGCCGCTCCGTCCGTGGAACAAGTGGCCGAGGTGCGGATCGCGCAAGATGGAGCTCCAGGGACAGCTGTCGTCGGCGTAGCGCTGCACGCCCAAGACAAGCGCCGTCACTTCGTGGGGACAGTACTTTCGGCGCTTGCCTTTGACCCGTTCGCCGACGTTTTCGCACGCGAATTCCGGCGAATTGCGGGGAAACGCGTAGCCATTCCCAGCTGTTGCTCCGCCTGCGTTTGCGGCTACTGCGGCGGCGGCGGCGGCGGCTGCTGCGTTGACAGCAGAGTGCGATGCAGTGACGTTGCTCGCGAGTGAAGCTTGACCTGTTGAGCTGGAAGAAACCGGTCCTGGGGCTTGGGGGTATTGTTGCTGTTGCAGTTGCAGTTCCTGTTGAAGTTGCTGTTGAAGTTGCTGCTGCTGCTGTTGTTGCTGTTGCTGCTGCATCTGTGCTTGTTGCTGTTGCTGCAGTTGGTACTGTTGCTGTTGCTGGCGGAGTTGGTGCAGTTGCAGTTGCTGCATCTCGACCTCGTTTTTGACTTGCTGCAAACAAGACGCGGACGACGGTGGCTGCGCAGTCGTTGTTTGTGGAATTGCTGCAACTTGCGGACCACTCACGACCACGGAACTTGCTTTTGCAGGCGGTCGTGGCATCGTGCCGAGACAGTACAGTAGAACAGGAAGAACTGGCGTCTGCAACAAAAATATATCAGACACGAGATCGACACGCGCGCTATCTGCACGAAAAGGAAACAAAGAGGTCAGTGCACATCCTACGTTGCGGCATATGCACAATGTCAAGCACGTCCAACCCCACCTCCCACTGCTGCACTTGTCGCTTGTCTGTCTGCTCGAAGAATGCCACTTTCAACACCTATACACTGGCAAATTCCCCTACTCGTCGATCACGAGCACCAGCCAGCGTCGAGACACGAGTCTAATTGTGACTCTCTCGCTCTCTCCCTCTTGGTCCCCCCTCTCCCTCTCTGCCGCTTCGCACACGACCAGCTGGAGCTAAATATACACTCGTCGCCCGCAAGCTAATCTTAAGTCGCGCAATAGGGTTCGACGACGCGACAACCGTGCAACACGCTGTTGCTATTTATAGACAGCAAGCAAGCCAGACGGGCGTGTGTGTGTGTGTGTGCTTGTCGTGCGTTCTGGCACAGCAGATGAGGGAATCTACAGATGCAACACAGATACTGCTGTCAGAAGCGTAATAAGAAGATGCATTGGGTTTTATGCACCAGACAACGTTGCCCTCTGCGTCACGCCAGCGTCGGGTCAAATCAACGTCAAAAGTACCTCGTTTCCCTGCGCCCAAAGTTGCCGTTTCCCTTTCGCTGCTCTCTGACCGCTCCAAAGACTGCGGAAATCAAACCTGTCGAGTCGGCACGCAGCGTGTAGCTATGCGAGTCAGAGACAAAGACGTGGCGACACAAGAGTGAAGGTCACTTGGAGACTTGTTAATCACTCGTGCAACGCAAGAAAAAACCAGCTCTCGCTCCAGCTGGTTTGGCCATGCAAGTCCACGCAGCGAGAGCGAGGGGGAGGCAAATACCAGGCTTCTGCTGTATCGTACCGGGAAATTGGCAGACGCTAGCGAGCAGCGTCTCACGTGGGCGCAGACGCGGACGGCTGGCTCGTCGGCTGGTCGGTTGGCTCGCTGGCTCGCTGGATTGCGTCTTCTGCAACTCGCGACTTGCTGCTCGAGTTGAGTTGCCGCGCGCGCTGAAAGCGTGGAAGGCGGCGTTTTTATTTTATTGCGGTCAGGGGAAGCGGGAATAGCCCTTTTCTTCGTACTGCTTCGCTGTATTCGTTTGCAATACAAGTACATGCTCGATTGCTGCAATCATAGCCGTACACAAAAAGAGAATTGATTGGAGGAGAAAGGTGGGGGAGGGGGAGGGCCAGGGGATCATCGGCTTGTCATACTCTACCTCCTGAATCGCATTGCCGAAAGGATGGGGACAGACAGCCATTGGAGTGACACTTATTGCGAGCGCCAGTGCTGCTCGGCCGCGCCCGGCTATTGCATCACGGTCAATGAGGCGCGAATGATACGCTGCCATGTTTACGGACCGCTTTGTCGAACGCCGCAGCAACACACGCATCGCCAGTACAAACACGTAGGAGTCTCACGAAACGACCTCGAGGACGAACGAGGTAACGCGGTATAGGGGCTACGATACAGTCGGCAATCGCTAGCTCAACGGGCTGCGGCTGTTTTCACAGGCACTGCCAACGCCACCAGCTACTTTGTGTGGTAAAGTTGTGGTAAACACTGCTCGCTAGGGCGCCCACGCGGCAAAACAAGTCGATGAAGGTGCAGAGCCAGCCACACGATGGCGGTGTTGTGGCAATACTACTACCACCAGACTATAACGACCTGACAACGAGGAAGTCGCTGCTCGTACCTGCAGCGCTACGAGGGACCTGATTGCCATGACCTGACAACGAGGAAGTCGCTGCTGGTACCTGCAGCGCTACGAGGGACCTGATTGTCGTGGGAGACCACTCTATCGCTGCTGGCACATATTATGTCGCGCAGACGTAGCCGCTCGATCCGGTGTTACAGCGCTTGCCGTGAGCTGGCTGCGCTGTGAGTCAGCATGTTTGCTGCCCGCATGCAGAAAGGACAGGTTCCACTGTTTTTAGTGCGGGTTGGGTCGTTCCGCTTGCACCAGATCGGCGGTACTTGGAGACGGTATCCGCTGAACTTTTGCCGTCGTGCAATCCACCAATCCATGCAAAGAATTGGACAGGGAGTTGCCAATCGTGGCGCCTTTTTGACAAACGGGACAGCGCGTACTACTACTGTCGAGCAAGCGACCAGCAAGTGCAGGCACAAGATCGTGCAGCTACGCGCCGACTAGCGCTTTGGCGCGAAAGAGTGATTCCGCCCACCTGACTGACTGCACGAGGAGCTGGTGCTCGTCGGTCCACAGCATACGTGCGTAGAAACAGTCCCGATGGCGTGGCGTCAAAGGGCTCGGAAATGGCCCACCCACACCTTTTCATTCGAATGAACAACGTCGGGAGCCAACGATTGAGCCGTAGCGACATCGCTAGCGCTTTCTTTGCACGGACCATTTGGCCCCATGGACACTTTTGGGACGCTGTCAAGTCTATCTGCAGAACTGCAAGTCCTGCTTTCGAGGCAGCGACATTCTTGGGAACGTCCATAACGTTTACTAAATAGGAGCGCATCCGTGAGGCTGCTGGTTGGCAGATCGACCGCTGTCCGCAATAACCTTCACGTGATACAAAAGCTTTCCAGCCAGACTTGTGTGTCATTCACAGTGACAATGTCATGACTCTATGCGTGTTGCACGTTGTCGCCGTGTCACGTTCAGCAACAACGGTGCAAGATGACGCGTGTAAACACTTTATGCTCGAAAGGCCACCCGTCGACCGATACGGTCTTCCATGCAAAGCCGTCTCTGGTCACCCATAACGATCTTGCGGCACAAAAGAGGAGACACTTGTGCACCAATCTGACCGCCATGGCGAGTAGTCCAGCGAGCGGCTGTAAGTGAGATCGATGGCTGCTGCTACATGCTGATACAATGAGCTGCTTTTGTACGTCCGCAGCTTTGTGTCGTGCGTTAGTCCTTGTCGCAAAATGGATGGTCGGAAAATAGTAGTGTGCAAGACAAGAGTACCTCAATCGAGTCGGCAAATTCTCGCAGTAAGTATCGAACTTGTAGTAAACGCGCAATGCAGCCCGCGTCAAGTGGTCGCACCGTCGCTTCGTAGACTGAACATGTCTTCCATTGTCATACCCACCGTACCGAAAGGTTGCACGATACCTACATGCTCCAACAAGGTGATGTCAGCAACATCAATATTCCCTCTCGCTTGAGTCAGCAAGATGCCAGAGACAGGTACAATTTGCGGCGCAAAAGAAGTAAATCATAAGGCTACTACGAAGTGAACTTGTTTGGCTCAGCACGAACTTTCGTCAATGATAGCCGAACAAGATAACCCTAGTGGCTGTTGGGATGTCTGCATCATCTTGTCTATGCCAGCATGGATGAGCGATAAGTTAGGCACAAGAGGTACCTTTGCAGCCTCAGGTACGCCGACGCCACGTAGGATAGATGTCACAGAGCTCTTTGCAACGCAATTGCAGCACTTGGCTGTCACGAGCGCCATTTGATACATAAACGACCAAGGAAGAAGACAGTTTTTCGACCGAAGTCTCGTAGCTGCACGAGTCATAGGCACACGACCTCAGATTGTAACAGCAAGCGAGCCGGAATGTGCGCATGACGATGATAGGGGTAGCGAAACAATGGCTGAACTCTGTTTCAGTGGCGATTGCAGAGTGTACGTGACGTTTTCATGTGATGTACGAAAAACCCTGCTTAAGTACGCACCTGTGAGCACCGAGTAGAATACCGATATTTCTAGCATACCGCTCACGCCAAGAATATGCATAAAACGTACTCGGTGAAAAGCAAATGAAATAAGAGCTTTTTTACTTCGCCAGGCTGTGTGTGAGCGACGCTGCCGTACAAGTCGAAAAAGCCTGACAGCGAGATAAGTCGTCTTTTGTGCTACTTTTTGTATCACGCCTTCGTCAGTCGTCTGCCAAACCCGTCCATCATCTGCCGTATCCTCTCAGTTCAGCTGCTTATCAACACAATAGCTAGTTTGGACCTGCTATCCTTTGCGGTCCGAACTCACAACGAACGTTAACACAATAGCAACGGCTGCCATGACCATCCGAGTAATCGATCCTCAGCCACGTGCGACTCGATCTCGACTTCGAGTCAGACGCATCACATCACATCGATCGGGTCGGTCCTATGCATTGTAAGAGGTTCCCGGCGTATTTTTCCTGCATTGCTCCCCATCCCCTCAATTCGAACCGAATACGACCTGCAAAACCAGTCCTCACAAACGATCGCTACATCTATCCCTATCGGCCCGCGACTCCTCTATTTCCAATCCGTGCCCTATTTCCCCGTCGGTCGTTTTGTCTGCAACGAAGTGATCCCGCGGACGATTATCAAGAGAGACAGCCCCCGAATCCCAACACGCGACGAGCTCTGCGCGACCGTCGGCACCTCTTCCCCACGCACACACCAATGGCATCGTACAAACCCACAGTCGTCATCGACAATGGCACTGGGTACGTCGCTCCCCCCTCTCTCTCTCTTCCCACCTCGGCGTCCACGTGTCTTCCCCAAGTGGTTAAACCCCATCGTCCCTTATCAATCTGTCGGTCGGTTGCTGACCTCTCTAACTTGATACCCCCTGCGTAACAGGTACACGAAAATGGGTTACGCCGGCAACGCCGAGCCGAGTTACATTATCCCGTCCACGATCGCCGTGAGCGGCCCCGACTCGAGCGCCGTGCGCAGTCGCCAGGGCATTGACGATCTCGACTTTTTCATTGGCCACGACGCGCTGGCGCACGCGTCGACGCACCAGGTGAACTACCCCATTGCCCAAGGCATTATCCACAACTGGGACAACATGGAGAAGCTCTGGCAGCGCTGTCTGTTCCAGCACATGCGGTGCGAGCCCGAGGAGCACTATATGCTGTTGACGGAGCCGCCGTTGAACCCGCCCGAGCACCGAGAAGCGACGGCCGAGATCATGTTTGAGACGTTTAATGTCCCGGGCCTGTACATTGCTGTGCAGGCCGTGCTGGCGCTCTACGCGTCGTGGCCCAAGATCAAAGACCCGAGTCAGCGGTCGCTCACGGGCACAGTCATTGACTCGGGCGACGGCGTGACGCACGTCATTCCCGTGGCCGAAGGCTACGTCATTGGCAGCTGCATTCGGCACATTCCGCTGGCAGGACGCGACGTGACGCACTTTATCCAAAAGATGCTGCGCGACCGGGGCGAGCCCGTGCCGCCCGAAGACTCGCTCGAGGTGGCCAAGCGCGTGAAAGAAGCGCACAGCTACGTGTGCTCGGACCTGGTCAAGGAGTTTAAAAAGTACGACGCCAAGCCCGACAAGTTTTTCCTGCCGTACTCGGACTTGCACCCGCGGACGAAGCAGCCGTGGACGATCGACGTGGGCTACGAGCGGTTCTTGGCGCCCGAGATCTTTTTCAACCCCGAGATCTTTTCGACGGACTTTACGACGCCGTTGCCCAACGTCGTGGACGAAGCGATCTTAAAGTGTCCGATTGACACGCGGCGTGGCCTGTACAAGAACATTGTCCTGTCGGGCGGGAGCACTATGTTCAAGGACTTTGGCCGTCGGCTCCAGCGCGACATCAAGCGGCTCGCGGACGACCGCCAAGCAGCGAATCTCGCGATGCACTCCAAGTTCCAGCAAGCGCATGCCGAAGCGCTCGAGGTGAATGTGCTGTCGCACCGCATGCAGCGCTTTGCCGTGTGGTTTGGCGGCAGTATGGTCGCGTCGACGCCGGACTTTTACCGCGTTTGCCACACGAAGGCCCAGTACGACGAAGAGGGGCCGCGGATTGCCCGCCACAATCCCGTGTTCAACGTCACCATGTGACTGCAGCACTGGCCGATCGTTGGTGCCGAAGCAGAGAGACCGAGAGAGATTGAGAGATTGAGAGCGAGACGAGCACGTGGTCTGTTGTCTGTCGTCCTGGACGAGTGTATGCACAAGACGTCGACCAGCGCCGACCGCGAAGAGACGAAGAAGAAGCTCAGAGCAAGAACGAAATACACGACGTACGTTCAATCGATTGTACTATCTATCAGTCAGTCAATCTGACCTGTTGACGACTGGACGCAGGCTGCTGGTCGTGAGTGCGCCTTGTTGCGAGCTGCTCTGTCCTCGTGCCCTCTTCACGCCGCTGCTACCCATCCCATGGATCGATTCCACAAAACCCATTTGCGACCTCACTCACTATACATATCTTCATGCAGACCATCGACCACGACGCGATCGCCATCCAATGCACTCGCCTTCAGTCTATAGTCCTTGTAGCACCGTATCCCTTCATGCACCAACCGCTGTCCACGTCCTTCCCACTGCCCAACGTCACCGTCCACACCGTTTTCGCCTCACACCATCTCCTCGACGTCTCCTTCCCGTTTCGACAGCTTCGCGTCGAGCTTCACGAGCATATCTTCGACCATTGCATCGAGCTCAAAGTCGTGCTGCCACTGCCAGTCCACGCGCGCGCGACTGTCGTCGAGCGATTTGGGCCACGTCTGGGCAATCTGCTGGCGAAAGTCGGGCGCGTACGTGCACTCGAAGGTCGGCAGCACCCGTTGGATCGACGCCACGAGCTCCGCCGGTGTGAACGACAGCGCTGTAATGTTGTACGTCCGTTGCCCCAGACACTCGTTCGGGGCGTCCAAGAGCCCGACCGTCGCTTTGAGGCAGTCGGGCATGTACATCATGGGCAACTTGGTCTCGGGCGCGAGGAAACACGTGTACTTGCCGTGCTGGAGCGCGTGGTAGAAGATCTCGACGGCGTAGTCCGTCGTGCCGCCCCCGGGCATGGCTTCCGACGAGATGATGCCCGGGTACCGCACCGAGCGGAAGTCGACTTGGAACTTGTGGTAGTAGTACTCGCCCAGGAGCTCCAAGTGGACTTTTGTGAGGCCGTACATGGTCGTGGGCCGCATGATAGTCACGTCCGGCGTCTCGTCTTGCGGCGTCGACGGCCCAAACACAGCGATCGTCGACGGCGCAAAGACCTGCAGCTGGTGCAGCTTGGCGAGCTCGAGCACGTTCTGGATCCCGCGCGTGTTGACGGCCAGCGCCAGCGCCGGGTTCGTCTCGCCCACGGCCGACAGCAGCGACGCCATGTGCACGATCGTGTCCACGCCCTGTTCGGCAATGACGCGGGCCATGGACGTTGCGTCCTGGACGTCGCAGTAGGCAAAGCGCGGATCGTCGCGGGCCCCGAGCGGCGCTTTGATGTCGGAGTTCACGACCGTGTCGGGGCCAAACACCTCTCGCAAGAACGGCACGAGCTCCATGCCGATTTGACCCGTGCCCCCCGTCACGAGGATGCGACGACGGGGCCGAGTGGACTGCGAGAAGGCACGGGCAGCAGCTGCACGCATGATGCAAAGACAGAGAGAGAGAGAGAGAACGAGCGAGAAAGTGAAGGGGTACCGGTGGGGTCCCTGATTGGTTTCCTTTGGTTTGGTTGGGTTGGATTGGTTTGGGTTGGGTTGGGTTGGGTTGGATTGGTTTCCTTTGCTTTGGTTGGGTTTGGTTTGGTTGGATGTTCGTCCACAGTGGCGAGTCGAAAAGTGGTGCAAAGCGGAGGAGAGGCAGACGATGGCAACCAGACAGACAGCTCGAGAGCTCGGGAGACAGAGACAGGGGGGGACACGATTGTGTGTTTGAGTGGTCATGACGACGTGAGTGTGTGGGAGGGGTCTTCCGAAGAGCAGCGAGTCGATGGTGATGATGGGACGCGCGCATGGCGCGTGGTCTTTGTAGAGCGGGTGAAGCGCAGCTTGAAGTACAAGAGTGAGTAACAACGCACTGGACCCGTCCGTTGACGCCTCGGTAGGGCTGGATCTATGTCAATTCTTGACGTACGGTGCTATGAGTGAGGCCTTGTGTGGGGTGTGTATGTGGGTGTGGGTGTGGGTGTGGGTGTGGGGAAGGAAGTTGATGTCCTCTGTATGGGGACCGTCGACCTGGACGTGCTTGCGGGCTTTGTCGCATCGGATATGTATGTGCGAAAGGGTGTCGACTTTCTCGCTCTGTTCGCGTGGTGCAGCGCATAGTGCTGCTGGTCGGTGTGTATGCGGACACGGCAGCGTGCCTTGGCCTTGTACTTGATTCGGGCCAGGACATTGGCGCGTGTGCATCCAATCAGCCACACGTGACGCACGACTGATGATTACCTGCCACGCGGGTTGTCACGATGGGACGCGGCTTTATGTACTGACTTGATGCAGTCCCGTCGCCTGATCTCGTGACACACACACCGCTGTGGTCAATGGAAAACGTGTGGCACCGATGCCTGCGTCCTCTTGTTCTCTTTACAGTGTCGTACTCGACTACACGCTGTAGTCGACTGGATTTGACGGGCTACTACTACTACTACTACTACGGACTGCTCGTTTCCGAGAGAGGAGAGAGCCGCAGCCCTCGACACAACACATGCACGCGATTGTGACAGCTCCGATAGCCAGCGGGTCGCCTCACATGCCGCGCGTTTCACGAGGTGAATCCGATACCTGTCGCGTGTTGGAAAAAGGATCTCGGCACCCGGTGATGGTGGTCCGTTTTTGACCGGCAACAGATAGCAAGGTGTTCATCCGTGTCATTCGAGCAAAGCGAGCAGTTGGGCCTTGTCAGCGCACGTGACGGCTCAGTGGTGGATAGACACACTTGTGTCGGTCCCGGACGATCGGGTACCGCGGTGCAACGGTGTGTGCTGCTGTCATAGGAGCTAACAAATGAGCCCGATTTGGTCACACACGACTGCAAGTTGTTATTGTGACGCGGTTGGGCAGCGACACCATGTGGAAGATCCCGCTTTGACTAGCAACAACAACACATCCCTCGTCACCAAGTCAGGCAGCAGCTGCACTAATGTTAGCAGCTTGCTATCTTTTTTATTCACAACTACGCAGCTCGCTCGGCTTACCACCGACTTACAACGTTTGTGTGGCACATTTTCCACAGCACGCCCGCTGATGACGGCACGACAAGCGCGGTAAAGTTGCCCATGCATGTCGGCAGCTTTTCAGCAAAGTCACTGCGCGAATGGTCGAGCGCGTAGCTGACACAAATGACAAAAGTGCTCGCTGCCGCTAGCTCAACATGAGCTCTTTTCTACGGTTTACGACGAGAAACAAGTGACGGAACATGTTGCGTTCGAGCAACCAGCTCCTTGGCCCTTGCAGCGTGGGCTTTGAATCTACGATGCGAGTTTATCGTTTCAAGTCTTGAGGATACGGAGAGAGGGAAACGGGATTCCTCTCAAGTTTTTTACACGTGTCATTGACTGCACCGTAGTGATGGGTGAACTTCTATAACGCATCCAATTGCCATTGTTGCACGCTCTGTATAGTACTGTCAACTGCAACTGTCTTTCATCGCTCCCCATCTTTCGTTCGATTGCCGGAAGCGTGTGTTGCAAAGTAAACGCGAGATAATCTCGAACAGAGAGCTACAAATGGACCATCATGACTAGTGGGTCGGTTTCCTCAGTCCATATGCAGCAGAATCGGTCACATGGCCCGACTAATCGTGCGTTAATGAGCGGCAGGAACAAGACCCTCAAATGGTGCTTCTTCCCAATCGGCCTATGTAACGTCTCCCAGTCGAACAGTCGGCGAGATTCGGTCGATTTCTTGTGCAACGTATCGTCGACGGACACAAGCACAGTGCCCTTACCTTTGGCCACGATCAGTAGTTTTGTTGGCGCTTTGGTTGCTGTTTGTAACGTACGCGGATGAAGGCCATACCTGCTGACCGTGTCATGCGTGTTTGCATCGGAAAGCGTCTTGGTAGCACCCGTAGTCAATCTGACCTTTATTGCCGGCGCCAACTTCCTATCCGGAAACTTCGCATCGAAAGATACTCATGAAGCCAGGATATGGAGACAATGTACATCAAAACAACCCAGGTGGAGCAGGCCGACTATATCTGTATGCACAGCGAAATTCGCAGTAGTCCAGCCGTCCAGGACACAAACAACATAGGCCCATATACCTCACTAACCTGTCACTGAGATAATGCGATTCAGCCAAATCGATACACTCTCGCGTGCATACGGCGATGCCAAAGAAGCGCAATTTCAGATCACGTGTTGAAGCAGAGGTAGCTGCATGCGGTGCTGTGACATACTCAAGATGTTCCTGGCGTCGTAAAAACACACCAAACGAAAGCGGTTTGGTGAGTTTGCGAGCATGACGACTGGTGAACTGCAGTTGACAGCTCGAGATCGGTGATCCGTCGGATGTCTGTTGAGGAGATACAATAGTCCTTGACAGAGGAAGGTCTAAGCCCGAGGAGCTCTGATGACTTACCGAGTCGACAAGTGTAAAGAGCTATGACTCAAAGAGTCGACTTGTTCGGAGAACGATGACTCAACAATTTGACGAGCTCATAGAGTTTCTAGGCGTCGTTGAGATAACTTGTCGAATCAGTGAGAGCTAAGCGCATATAGCGCTTAAGAGTGAACGCCTTGGTAAGGCCTACACCATCGTACGGTCAAACACGCTTTAACAAGGCACGTGTATTCTATAGATCAAAGTGCAAACTGCAGTTTATTCGATGATATTACAAGGATAAAACTCCATCAGAGTACATACCATTTCGCTCCCTATCGAGTAACGTCTGCTACGTATCATTTGTAGAACGCCTCTTCACCCAGCAAACGGGCTTTGTTCAACACTGATATATTTAAGTATTACACCAAAGTGTACCCCCGTTCCTCCCTTCTTACACCAGACTATCGGAATCACGGGTCAAGGCTCGTCTCATTCCTTCGTTACAGAAATGCTATAGACAGTGAAAGAGCAGATATGCTTACCGTTGTGTTCGTATTCCCAAGCTAGCAAGGCGCCACCAGGCGACGAGTCACATACCCTGTGCGAAGCATCCTCGAATAGGACCGGGTAGACTACGAGAGCGATACCAACGTTTAGGGTGATGGGATCCATCTCCAAGCACCTCTATGCAGAGGAGTGAACAAGCTCAAGCAGCGAGTTGGATCACGGAAAGAGGTGCCGCAGGTGCGCTAACAGCGCTAGATAATAATCAAGGCTACGAGCTGAACATCATCACAAATACGCTCGACGAGCATCAGATGCACGATGTCTGGGTAGACGAGAGGGCTCATTCGTGGTATAACATCATGGCGATTTCAGGCTAGACAAGGATATGTCTTCCAGCCACCTAGTATTGATGGCAGGATGCGACAAGTCGCAGACTAGTCATCGTCATACTGGGTTACTGAGCGTAAGGCAACAATGCCTAGATATGTAGCTGCACTCCGAGAAAGTAGCTCCGCTATGATCCATGCGAGCGCTATCGACACCACGTGTCGTATCGATTGATCGATACCTACTCAGGCTGAATTGTCAGGCAGGTGATGCATCTGTATCCTTTTTGAGGACCGTTCCCATCATCTCATACCCGGGAGAAAACGGACATCTACGATAAAACTTACTCACCCGATGTGTGCAGCAATTGTTGCGACTGCACAGCATGGAGGCTCTTTGGGATAGCGGCAATTTGGTACGATATTCGTTTATAACAAAACTCCGCGATGGCTTTGTATGGATAAATGTCGAAGTTCTGTACCGTACGGTATACCATTCCCAACTTTGGATCCATACACGCTTAATCACATCCAAGTGCTTTGAGTATAAACACCCGCGGATACTAGTTATGGTATACCAATGAGCCCATCTATATCCATCAATCATAGTGTGAAGCGCTTCGGGCCGCAGGTGGACCCTACACGCAGCGTTTACTGATGTCAACGGTGTAGGGGATGTATCGCGGCAACGAGATCTCGATTCCCTCGAGGTCTCATACCCAAGGTAGTCATGCCATCTCACCAATTATTGGTTGTGGCAACTAAGACGACGTCGCTTGAGGAGTTTCTCCTCATAAAAATGGCGATTAATGATTTTCATCAATCAGTTATAGGTGGAGAAGGACACGCCAAAGGCGTCCCATAAGATCTTCATCACGCGGTTGACGGTTTATTGTCTTAGGTAAGACGTCTGCGCGAGCGTTGCAACGCTTGGCATGTATGGACAACCGTCTACGATACATGGGGATCAGGGTCATCTTCCTCTGGAGCCTACGCACACCGTAAACGGTCATCACATACACGGAACTACAATACTACTGGCAGCTTGTATAACTTTGTTGGCAATCATTTCACGTACCAGATATGTAACGGGCCACACCCTTGCGTGAACTTAACGCAAGGGTATCGGTGCCCCGACAGACGTACCCGAGGCAAGCGAGGAAGCGTAGGTAAGGTAAAAGCAGAACTGTTATATTAATATAATTAAGTCTTTTAACTACTGTCTCTCTGTTTGACTCAACTTAATTATGCTAATATAACTGAGTGTAT